GCCCCACTGGTTCGCTCCCCCGCACTGCGGGAGGCTCATGCGCGTGGTGGAATGCAGCACGGGCGGGTAGGAGTAACTGTGGGGCGCGGGAGAGGAGATGGGGGATGGGGGAGGGATGGGACAGGAGAGTGAGGGAAAGCAGAGCTTAGGTGTGGGGTAGAGGAACGCATGACGCGGCGCAAGCAGATGGGCGGGGCGTGACCGTCACGTCACGAGTGACAGGAAATGCTACGCCCACCGTTGTGTGGCATGCAAACACAAGTTGCTGCAAGAAGAACAGCAACAATGGGAACACCGGCAGCAACGAAAACAAGCTAGCAAGCAAGCAAGCTGCTGGAACAGGGAGACGAACAAACGCGCGAGTGCAAGTGTTTGATGGTCAACGTGTTATGTAGCATGCGGGGGGGCTCCTTACGGGGTACATGAGAAGCCTTGAGGCGTCACAGGCGACGGGCAAAACGACCCTGCAGGACAAGCTGCGCGCGGGGATAGCAGGGGCCGCGGAGCGTGGGGGGACGAGGGGGTGGGGGCGAGAGGGGACGTTTGGGGGAGAGGGGAAGGTGAGGCAGAGGGGGAAAGAGGGGGAGGAGATGTTGAGGCGGCAGGGAACGAAGGAGGGAAGAGCAGTTGGAAAGCAAAACACGACGGCGCACCAAGGTTCGCCTTTTGAGGCGCCTCAAAAGTTGCACCAAGGTTCGCTCTGGACAAACGACCGGTTTGCATCGCAGCAGCGCAAGCGCGAGTTCCCTATGCACACGGGAGCATGTGAAGACGCGAGCGCGCCCTTTTATCTAACGGGTTTCAGCCAGGCTCTTACGTATCATGCACGCAAGCCCCGCGGGGCAGAAGAACCCCGCGCAGCAGGCGGAGGGCGGGTCCTCGCGCGGGGGCGCAGGCGGAAGCTCGTGGCGGGCGAGTGCGGCGGACCCCGACTCGTACGCGAAAATCCACGCCAAGGGGGAAGAGAAAGACCCCGCGGAGGCGGAAGGGGGGACCGCGGGGAACGCGGAGCGCGGGGATTTAGCGGAAGGGGCCGCGGAGGTGGCGTTAAGGGGTGGCGCGGCGATGGGACTAGCGAAGCCCGGGAGGCATCCTAACAGCGGCGAGGAGCTATTGCAGTTGACGGGGTCTAACAGGCTATCCTCGATACTCCCGCCCCAGATCCCGCCATCATCGCTCGCCCCTCCCTTGCCGCTGCTGCTGCTGTCGCTGCTGCTGCTGCTGCTGGTAACTTGCTGCAAGGGGTCCGTCCCGCCTGTCTGCGCATTGAGCGATCGCACGAACGCCGCGAGTTCCCCGGACGAGCATACGCGGCGGCGCAAGTCGCCTGGCGGAACCGCGGGAGCAGGAGGGGGTGGGAGATGGGGGAGCGGCGGGAGATGGACGAGTGGCGGGGCGTTGAGATGAGTTGAGAGAAAGAGGGGAGGAGTTGGCGCGCGAGCATGCGGAACAACGTGGGAAGAGAAGGGAGGAGGGAGGAGGGGCGGGGCTGGTTGGGAAGGAAGTGGGGAATGGGAGAGAGGGAAAGCCGCCATGCCTGCAACTCACCTTTCTTTTCGCATGCCGCCACCCTCGCGGCGGAATCTGCGGTGCGCACGGGGAAGGTGCGCTGCGCCTCCGCCGATCTGCAACGGACGAATCATGGGCAAGGAGAGCAAGCAGCGGAAGCGCCGATGGGAAGGGAGGTTGAGGGAGGGAACAGGAAAGGCCGGGGCGGGGAGGAGTGGGGAGGTGGAGGGGGAGAGAAGGGGCGGGGAGGTAGAGCGGGGGGAAGGGGACGGGGGAGGGTGTGGGGGGTAACTTGCTACAGGAGTCGAAAAGCATAACGAGTGAGGGGAGGGGAGGGGGGTGGTCATCTTTCTTTGCAACAATAGGCTCAAAATTCATGGGAGGCTGGGGGTGAGGAAGGGAGGGGGTGGAGAGGGGGGGGGGGAGGGTAAGAGCATCGAGTCAAGAAGAGCGGTGCATACGGGTCGGCGATGCATCCCGGATGGCCGTCAGAAAGGGCCTCCACTAATCGCAAGCCCAGAAGCTCTAGTGCGTCCGTTGCTAGTATCCCCTCCGCCGCTGCCGCTGCCGTTGCTGCTGCTGGTGCCAACGCTGCTTCTGCTGACAGCGCCGGCCGTGCCACTGCCGCTGCTTCCGCCAGGCCTAGACGCGGTGCGACTCTGGCGTTTATCCCGGCACCTCTTGATGGTTCCCATGGGCTCGGCCCGGTAAATAGCGGAAGCGATGACGACAGGAGGGCGAGGATGAGGGCGTACGGGACTAACGACGCGCGAGCACGAACGTGGCGAAGTGCCATGGCGAAATCGAGCGAAATCTAGGGGGAGGTCGGAGCGCTAGGTGGCGATACTACTCCGGCCATCGCGGTTGGAAACGCAGAGGACGAGAGGGAAGAAGTTTCTGAATGAGTACGGGTTGTCTATGCGTTTGAGTGTCGTCCACACTACCAAATACTTTCGGCAAAAGCACAAGGCAAGATCACTTTGAGATAAGATCTTTAAAGCGCCATCGGGCTGGCCAAAGAGCGATGAAAGCCCAGGCGCTCTAATGCAAACTGCTTTATAAAGCTGACTGGCGCCACGAACGATACCGCTGACGTTCGATGGTTAGAATGGGTTACAGCTCACGGAAGCGTATGAGGGACAATATGGAAGAAGGTTCGTGTAGAATAGACGGAGACCACAGTCTAATTTGCGTGATCCTGTGGACGGATCAATGGAACGAGGCGAAGACGGAATCCGCGGAGCACCTGAAGCTAATCCAATGGCAGGTCAGGCAGCTGGACCAGGAGTGGTGGAGAAAACTATTACACCAATATTTTCCTAGGGGAGATCGAGCTCACCGAGCTAGTCCTAGGGGATTCTGCGAGTGAGTGCTCTTGTTGGTTTTGTTCCCTGAACACTCTCGAAAGCAACCAAGCACCTTACATCCGACGCACTGGATGGTGGTGAGGCTGGATGGACCCAAAGGGTGTAGCGAGGCGTTGGATGGGTTAGGTCTGGTTGGGTAAGGGAAAAAGAGGTGAGTGGGTGGGAAAAGGGAGATCAACTTTGAGGTTGGGAGAGAATATGGTTGTCCTTGGGGGCTGGGGGAGCGGGAGGCACACCACCAGACCAGACTAGACTTGGCCCAGGCCAGATAAGATAGAGCCCCGACGAGCATCTGGCTGATTCGTTTTGCAGGCACCGGCACCACCACGCGACAGAACAGGAAGAAGAACCAAGCGAACTGCTGCAATTCGCGGTTGGAGAAAGAGCGTGTATATCGAACCCTTGACTGGTGTCAAACTACCCCTACTCGTCATTGTCACATCAGCAAATCCGGTAACCATCATGGACGGTGGAAACGTCATTAGAATGAACGAGGAACGGTACAGATGTCAGATCGACCTCACCTGACCGCGCGATTGAAGACTCCTGACACTAAGCCGTGAGGGAAATGATCAAAGAGGGGCCGTACAGTGCCAGAGAGGTGATCAACCAGGGGCCGAGAGGCCCGAAACTGACCAAACCGCTGCGCGAGGGGGGATTAACAGAGAGGTTCGTCACGGCTTACATTTTCGCTCACACCTCAATATTCTTTGGATATCGTAAATGAATCATTTTTTTCATCCGGTAGTGTGGTTTAGCGAGCCAGGTAGCGCTACCGACGGTACCGACGCTACCGGGAAATGTTAGGGCAGCCTAAAAAAACTAAAACCAATAGGGAACCTGGACGCATTTTCGGGATGGATCAACCCTAAACACGGGAACCCGCCTGGTGTTTAGGGTTGATGCCTCCCGAGTCGCATCCGTTTCCGAACGGGTTTTATTATTTTTGTCAGCTAAAGTGATGTATTTTTGTCGAAAACGATTACGCATTTCATTTCCCAAAAATATAAACATGACGAAACCTACTCCCAGAGGAATGCGACGCAAGCTTCGTATTAGGAGGCGATCATAACCATGAAAACACATTGAACCAAAAAAGTCGAGAAATTAGTAATTGCCTTTTTATCTTGGTTCGGATTCTCGGCCCAACCACTTTGGCAGCCCCGTGGGTATATCCGACGGTTGGGATCAACCCGGCCCTAATTCGGTCACCTCCCTGCTATTGTTCGGCCCCTCTTTGATCTTTTCCCAAGCCGTGACGCCTTTGACAGAAATTGGGGATTCGCGCCGCGTCGTGGAGAGGCCACCAGAAGAGGGCAACACATCAAATTTTCAGACACGTGCTTTTATCGAGCCCCGCAGACATGGTTTTCTGTCAGAGCTGACACGACCTATTATGAAATACAGATTCCATCCACTAAATTATGTGTCCTTATTTCTGTCTACCTTTGCCTATTTAGCTTGCACTGTGTAATGATGCTATGTCACATCCATGGCGCAAATCGCATATTTTAACGCTATTCATATTTCGAAGGTACTAGTCCAAGCAGATATATGAATACTGATACAGAATGCTATCAATATATAGCTATCAATATTTACTGTGTAGAAAAGAAACAAAATCCAATGTGTGGGATCTACATTTGAGACCGAAAACGTGGACCCTCAATCAATTGCTCAGTTAAACGTAGATTATAGTGTGCCTTCACATGACAGAATTCTAACTCTACTGAGATACACAGAATCGGAGCACTTGTGTCACGGATTCTGTCAGGATCCTCGTCCAGCGTGGCCTTCCTATCCAGGGGTTTGCCCCATCGGCATCGGTCAGGTGCTTCCCGCCAAATCTCCACGTCATGCAATGTCGTCAGACACAGGTTTTCCACCTCCTTCCTGGATCCCGTCCAGACTTGTTGACTGTCAGCTTGGAACAGCATCCATCAGCATCCCATCCAGCTCACTCACAAATGATCAGGATTCAGGAGTCTCCATCTCCCAAGCAGCCTGCTTGAAATTCACATTTGCAGGCCACATTCCTACCAGGCTTGAATCAATTTTCATCGTAACTGCTTTCCCAGCTATCCTCAGGTCGTTGCTGCTTCCTTCTTGTGCCTGTCACTGAAAATGGCCGCTGTGGCGTCCTCATCTGCGTGCGTGGCCACTAAGGTCGTTGCCTCGTCCAGGCTGCAGACTCTCAGTTCCTTCAACACGAATGCTAGCACTTACGGTCTCGTGCCTTCCACCACACGCTCCCTTAAGGCAGTTGGCCGCCGTGCCGTGCAACCGGTTGCTGCGCTGAAGTGGGTTCTGGAGCCCATTGGTACGTTCATAACATCGTGTCCTTTTAGTTCCTGAGCATTGCTGCTCATTGTTTTACCCCAGCGAGGCATTCGCTCTTGATGACCGGAGTACCATCCAATCGTTTTCCTGAGTTTTGTTTTCTTGTTCACCTCTCCTGTACCATCTCCTGCACCACAGGCGATGGAGACACTGCCCACCTTGAGCAGGAGATTGCGAAGCCTGGACCCATTGACGTTGCCGGAGTAAGTCCAGTACATCTGAAATTCCTTGAATGCATGGCCTGTACCGGTTTCTGCTGTGTCTAACACTTGACGCTCATTTGTTCCTGACAGGATGCTGTGGTGATCGGTCGGATGGCCGAGCGAGCTGATGTTGTCATTCCTGTTCCCACAGGTAGAGCACTGTCACTTTTTCCATCGGTTCCTTCAGCTCAGTGCTTTCGACTGTTTCCATTGTTTCTATGCGGTTGAGAACAAAGCATTGTTGAATGGCACATCTCAATCATTCTGGTCGCGGGTGCTTCGCGTGCATTGTCTGTCGCCTCAGTGTCTGGCGTTCATGCACGCCTGGAGAACCGCGGGGACGTCCTTGTGGTCACGGACCTCGACAGCACCAACGGAACGTTCGTTGACAATGCGCCGCTGAAGCCCGGAAACACCGCGTCCTTGGCAGTTGGAAGCGTCGTTATCTTTGGTGAGACGTCAGCTTGTGTCTTTGTCTCGTGCGCTCGTTCTCCGTTTGTCTGTGTTACTGGATGGTTCTGATGCGCGGGGAGCGTGACGTGTTTTGTCGCTGTGCTTCCTGCCATTTCCCTTGCTTGTGCCAGGCGACCAGCACCTCGCGCAATTCAAGGTCACACAAGTGGACGTCCCTGAGCCAGAGGCTGCAGCTTAAATACAGCCAGGCCGTTATATACAGAGTATCATGTGAGGCAATGCGGACGGCCAGCTTCTCGTGTAGTCTATCCCAGCATACGAAAAGTAAATGCTGATGCCTTGTTTTTGGTAAAATGTAAAGGGACGCGGTTTGTCTGCGTTTTGATAACACACCTCGCTTTCGCTTTCCGTGCCCAATCCGAAAGAAGTTGATCGCATTAGCCCGTCTCGGGGACGATGGCTTCTCGCGGAGGTAAGGCCACACAGTGCCGAGATGCCAGACCAACGCAATCCTCTCAACCCCACTTACCCTCGCCCTCTTCCATGTTTCTTTGTCTAACCCCCTCCCTCTTTTCCTAACTCTGTTCCTCACCTTCTCTTCCCTTCCCCGCTCGTCTCGCCTTGTCCCTCTCTCCGTTTCTGAATATTCGCCTCTATCCGCCCCCTGTGTACCCCTTCGCCAATCCTATCTTTATCCCCGTCTCCATCTCTCTATTCCCTTCGTTCTTCAACTCGCTATCCCCAACTCTACGGTCTTCTCAACTCACTATCCTCTTCGGTCTTCTCAACTCTGTATTACCTTCGCTCTTCACCTCTCTTTCCTTCGCTTATCAACTCATGATCCCCGTCGCTTATCAACTCTCTATCCCCTTCGCTCACCATCTCTCTGTCCCTTTCGCTCTTCATATCTCCGCCCGCTATCCAACAATCTTATCTCTTTGCCATTCATCTCTTCGCCTCGCCCAAATTTTTCACTATCCCATCTGTTGACACCTTCTAGCCATCCCTCGCTCATTCCCATCCTCATCCTTCTCTACCCCCAGCTTGTCCATATATACGGTTCCTCCCATCCCCTCCCCCTCATGTTCACCTTTCACATACGCACGCCCGCCCAACCCAAACGCTAGACACCATTTGAGGTTTGCATGTGCAAACGCAGACACATCATGCATCAAGCTGAGTAGTGTTCAGAAGCCAAAGAACAGGTTGTGGAAATTTCTTTGGGGATAGGAGCTACTGTGACCGTGGAGTACAGTTCTTGTGGAACAAACACATCTTGCTTGTCCAATTCACCAGAACAATTTGTTCGAGTGAAAACGCGAAGTGTGAACGGCATCAGGAATTTCTGCTATTCGGTTCGGATTCGTCACGTACGGTACGGCATCAGGAATTTCTGCTATTCGGTTCGGATTCGTCACGTACGGTATCTTGTCGTTATATCGGCAACATATCTTCTGCTGAGAAAGACATACGGCATTGGTGAAGTCTAGTATTACATCCAGCACCTCAGAGATGAAATAAAATACTTACCGGTACCCATATAAACATCACCACCTGTTGCATCTCAGGTATCATAGCACATCCTAATGTATTCTTCACTGAAATGAAATATACACTTTTTCAGTTACTCGTTCCCTTTTACCTGTGGCTAGTATCCATCTTTTCAAATTCCAGCTATACCCAGCTGTAACACTCGTGCAACGGGCCACTTTTTGTAAGACACGTGCTCACCACAAGCACAAGCACGCCATCAGCTTCTCTAGTTAAACCTACCGTCATCGCCCGGATATAAGACATATATCTCAAGAGTGGTTAGCAACGGAATGGTTGGAATAGAAACGAATGGGGTACAAATAAGCAACCCTAGAAGCTGTACCCCTTAGAGTGCAACTCACTGCAGCCTATCATATCAATGTTCAACATTTGACACACCCCCATAGGCTAAGTGAGGGGCATCAAAGAAAGAAAGGTGAACAAACGGTCACAAGACCAGTCAAAGCAAGAACCAAGGCAAGCTCAGGGTGGATCTCAATGTCAAATAGTACTTAGGAGATTTGGAGCTTGGAGGGAGAGAGTTGCATAGCGAGATGGATATCGAGGGAGTTTGGGTTGGCCAAAGAGGGGTTCAATAAAGGCAAATCATACAAGATATAGGAAAGAGGAAGGGAGAAGAAGAGGGTACACCACCAGCAGTTGATGCTAATAACTAAACTAATACACTAGCAAGCTATAGGCAGTTATAAGATATGCAATATCAATTAACACACCCCCGTAACTGCCTATGGCTATAGCTAGTGGTGTCTGGCACCAGGTCGCCTGGAGAGCGGTTGCTTGTAGCTGGGATATGCACAGAAACAGCGGTTGCTTGCCGGCAGCACCTGTGAACGCCATAACGGAGGAGGGCGCGGAGGGCGCGGAGGAGGGCTGGGATAACCGGAGGGCGTAGGATGCTGGTGATTAACACCAACCGTTGGATAGGAGGAGGAAGCTGGTGGCGCACAGGCGGAGAGCCGAGGAGAAGCGGCTGGAGGAGCACACAAGCGGAGGAGGAGGCGGCTGGAGGAGAGGAGAGAGGAGAGGAGAGGAGAGAGGAGGGGAGAGAAGAGGAGAAGAGGAGAGGAGAGGAGGAGAGGAGAGGAGAAGAGGAGAGGAGAGGAGGAGAGGAGAGGAGAGGAGAGGAGAGGAGAGGAGATAGGAGGAGGAGAAGCGGCTGGAGGAGAGGAGAGGGTAGGAGGAAAGATGGCTGGAGGCTCCCACCACCCCCTCATCCTCCCTCCCCCCCCCCCACCCGCTGCAGGAGTAGCAGGGAGAGGGAGGAGAAGGCGACGGCTGTTGCCGTCTGGACCCTCACGCCACCCCCTCACGCCCCTCACCCTCCTCCCCACATCAGGAAGCACGGCAGGGCGAGCTGGCGGTGCAGGCCCGAGAGCGCCACCCCCACAGCGCCCCCCCTGCAGCCCGCCAAATCCCACCACCACCCCCCACCCATCACGTCCCCCACACGCAGAAACGCAGCGGTAGGCGCGGGTGGGGAGACGGGGGGGGTGCGAAATGGGCGGCGACGGGGGCAAAAGGGGGCCGCGATCGGCGCCGCGACAAGCGCTGTAGTGGGCGCGACGGGGGGAGAGGGGGAGGGGGAAACGAAACGTGGCCGAGCGCTGCATTCTGCAGCAGGCGCGCGTGCGCTGACGTGCGTGCGCCTCTGGCGTGTGCGCGCGCTGCTTCTGGCGGGCGCACGTGCTGCTGCTGGCTGGGAGAGCGTGACGAGGCAGCAGTGACGGGGAGCGCGACGGGTCTGGCGACGGGGGGGGGGTCGCGCCCAGCTCGCCTCCGCGACCGTCGCTACGAATCCAGCGACGGACGCGTAACAGGGGGCGGGACGAGAGGGGCACGATCCACACGCCATACCTAAGCAGGAAGTGGGTGGGCCCATGACTTATGAACGGCCTAGGAATGTAACCGCTCTGAAACCATGTCAAATAGTACTTAGGAGATTAGGAGCTTGGAGGGAGAGAGTAGCATAGCGAGATGGATATCGAGGGAGTTTGGGTTGGCCAAAGAGGGGTTCAATAAAGGCAAAGCATACAAGATATAGGAAAAGGAAGGGAGAAGAAGAGGGTACACCACCAGCAGTTGATGCTAATAACTAAACTACTACACTAGCAAGCTATAGGCAGTTATAAGATATGCAATATCAATTAACACTCAAGGACACCACACAAATTCCGAGCGCAAGCAAGCGGCCACAAGGCCAGTTCAAGAGTTCACTAGGATATATATAGGAAAGCACAACAAGCAGAGCAAGCAACAAGACTACAGCAACCGAGGGCCTACCTCAACAAGCCCCAACTGCACACAGAATCTGTGGTGGTCACCAAGCGCTAGGGCCTTGGTGAAGACGTCTGCAGTGTTGGCCTCTGAGGCCACAAAGTCCAGGAGTGCCTGGCCGCGTCGCTGCAGCTCCCGCAGGAGGAAGTACCTCACGTCAATATGCTTCACTCTGCTCTCCAGTCGAGGCTCTCGACACAGGAGGATCATGGCCTTGTTGTCAGCGTACAAGGTCGGTGCAGAGCGAGGCCGCTCACCAAGGTCGGCGAGCAAGAAGGTCAACCAGCGAAGCTCCTGTGCCGCCATGGCACCAGCGTAGATCTCTGCCTCTGCACTGGAAGTAGCCACAGACGACGACCGTGTAGACCTCCACGACACAGCACCAGCTCCCAGACTGAAGCAGTAACCCTGAGTCGAGCGCTGAGTCTCCACGTCGTCAGCGTAGGAAGAGTCACAGTGACCAGTCAACGCCACTGGCTGAGTCCCTCCAAGCACAAGCCCCATGCCTGATGTAGTCGCCAGGTACTTCGCCACCCTCACAGCAGCTGTCCAGTGGACAGGGCGGTGTCTCCCAGTCGCAACAAAGCGAGAAAGGACGCTGAGGGGAAAGGCGAGGTCCGGTCGAGTACAAGTCATCAGGTACATGAGCCAGCCCACCAGCTCTGCGTAGGGTCCACTGGACTCAAAGGGCTCGTCAGGAAAGGGGCCCGTGAGTCTGTGGTCAACAGCAAGAGGAGTGGGCTGAGTGGTGGAGAACTGGAAGTCGAACCGCCGAAGGACCTGCTGCACCATGTGTGACTGCGTCAGTGTGATGGTGCGAGCGGCTCTGTCCCGGGTGATCTGCAAGCCAAGGTAGCGCTGCACCTCACCCAGGTCAGTGCACTTGTGTCTCTTCTGCAGTTCGAACTTCACCTGAGCCAGGGCTGCCCTGTCTGCTGTAGCAAACACCAAGTCGTCGACGTAGACAATGATAAAGAAAGGAGTAGAACCCGCTCGAACAAACAGCGACGGGTCGGCGGAGGACGGGCTGAACCCAAGGTCACGAAGCGTGGAGCGAAGAGTGTCGTGCCACTCACGGGGCGACTGGCGGAGACCGTAGACTGGTCGCCTCAGGCTCCACTGGGTCCCATGTGGGAAGGTGTCAGTGAAGCCAGGAGGACGGCGCAGCCAGATCTCCTCGTGCAGTCGGCCCTGGAGGAACGCAGTGGAGAATTCGAGGGAGTGCATCTCGTAGTCTCGCTGCGCTGCTATGTGGAGTAACACCCTCGGAGTAGTCATCTTCGGGGTCGGGGCGAAGGTCTGGAAGAAGTCAACTCCCTCACGCTGACTGAAGCCCCTAGCCACGTAGCACGCCTTGAACACCGGCGGTGCTCCAGGCGGCCGCTTCACCTTGAAGAGCCACATGCCATC